TGACGGTGTCCCAGTCATGTTGTGATGGTGTCTCGCTTGTGTTGTGATGGTGTCCCGGTCATGTTTTGATGGTGTCCCGGTCATGTTGTGATGGTGTCCTGCTCATGTTTTGGCGGTGTGCCGGTTATGTTTTGATGGTGTCCGGGTCATGTGACGGTGTCCCGGTCATGTTGTGATAGTGTCCCGGTCATGTTGTGATGTTGTCCCCGTCATGTCATGCTGGTGTCCTGGTCACCTTGTGATGGTGTCCCGGTTATGTTGTGATGGTGTCCCAATCATGTTGTGACGGTGTCTCGGTCATGTTTTGATGGTGCCCTGGTCATTTTGTGATGGTGTCCCGGTTATGTGATGATGGTGTCCAAGGAAGAGATGGTCGATGTGTTGAAAACAGCAGCTGTTTCCAGATTGTTCTTTTTGTCCCGGTTTGTATCTTGCTATTGGGGTCTCCAGCTGGGCGAATTTTTTTCCTCTTTCTCTCTCTCTGAGAATCTGAATATTTCGCAGTCAATACATCCTCCAGTCCTTGTGCAGGTCGTCAAGTTTTGGAATTGGTTATCAAGTTATCATGTTTCACGTTTTGCTGCTCATTTGCCGTTGAATTTCTGGTTGGCACCAGCTTACTGGTATGAAACTCCAAGCGCTGCAAGCTCAGCTCAGCAAGGCGTGCAGATGTGGCAGAGCTGTCTGCTAGGAGTGTCAGCCGCTTCCACCACACAGGCTTCAAGCCAAAAGCACCTTGGCAAAAATGTTTGGTGGTCCAGAAATCAGCTGCACCTAGGCTAGAACATCGTTCAGCATCTCAGGTCATGTGCAAGAACATTGCAAAGGGCCACTGCTACAAAGGTGTGAGAAGATGTGAAACCTTTGTGAGACCCGCTAAATCTTCAATTGCATTGTTTGTGTTTCTTAGAGCTCGCTCTTTTACCCTCGGAGAGTTCTGAAGTTTTTGGACTGTCAGGCCTTGTTTGCACCTTCGCACACAGTATGGAAGAGATGGTCTGAGAACAGCGATCTGGCAAATGTGAAGCACTTTGAGCCACTCATACCTGACAGCGACCGTGTTATGTCCAGTCAAAAGAGATGTGGCTTATCGCAGACTCATGTTCCAAGCATTTGCGTTGCACTGCCAGTTCAATTGGCAAACCGTTTAACCAGTGGAGCTATCCAGTGGCCCAAGCAGAACTGGAACCAGAGGACATGCAATCTGGGCATGACACTTAAGGCTTAAGGAACTTTCAACAAGTATACAGTACAGATACCAACGGTGATGTTGAGTTGATAAGAACTGCATCCCTTCTTGAGCGCTGATGGCAGAGTAAACTCCACTGGGCAGCCCCATGGGTGGGTATGAGGCGGTATGAGGAAGTGGATGTCGTGAAGGCAGCTGAGGTGTATTTCAAGAAGTTTGACATCCGCTCTTTGCTGACGGAGATCCTCATAAAGCTTGGGCGTGAGCAGCCGCAGGATCCCGTAAATGCTATCCGAGCTCAATTGGATGCAAAACTTGCCAAACAGGATCGAACAGGGCCACATGACATTGAACATTTGCCCAGCTGTTCGTCACCTGTGGTGCCGGATGCAGATGAAGAACATGATGCTGATGACACCTTACTTCAGGTTGGGCTCATATGTTTCTTGCGCTTAAACTTGTCCAAACAGCTGCCATTCTAATTTGTTTTGTTTTTTCTTTTAGCGAGGGGGCACCTTTGTCTCCTCCACGGACCGTATTTGCGCATGGGCCAGCCGGCACAGTGTTCCAGTGTATGTCAAGACTCCGAGATTGGGGTGCAGCTGTGCTCTCGCTGTGGTGTTCTTGCGTGCTCTGGAGCCAAAAGGCAATTCTTTGTAGCAGGATCAGGCTCCATGTGTTGGTGTTGGAGCTATTGGGTCCGGGTATATAGATTTTGCTGACAGTGCTGACTTTGTGGCAGGCGTAGAACTTGTGAGATCCTGACTAGCTGCGCTGCCGACTAGCTCAGATTACAATTACAATTTGTGGCCTGTGAGGACACCATTGAGTTAGTCTCGCACCTGGCACAATCCCGCCGCCACCACGCGACCACCGTGCCACCATGTACCGCGACTAAGCACGACTGCCAGCACCAGCGGCACCAGTACCGATTTCGTTCCAATGTCTAAGCCGCTGGGCGCTAGGATGTGTTCATATTTTCCTGGTGGATTAGACGCAACACTTTTGGGAACTCTTGCTGCTTGCTCGAACAGCGGCACCGGCATAGTTCTTTTTGGCACTGCGCTCTTCTGAATAGGTTCAACTACATATATGCAAAGTTGCCGCGAGGTAGACCTGCTGCAACTTCTTATTTATGAGAACTTTCCCGCCAAGGGGAATGCTGGCGAAAATCTTTCCAGACGAGCCTGGCCTGCAGGGTGTGTTTCTCAAAACGTGACTACTTCCACAAAGGAGGCGGTCTTTTCTTCATACAAGGTCTTGCAACATCTATGTATGTTGATCAGCGGTCGAATTAAGAAGTCCATTTCGCGTGGCCAGTGTGGGATGGTCAATTGCTGCATCACCCTATCTCCAACAATTAAACGGCTTGTGTTTTGCAGGATTCTACGGTGACAGTGCTGGCAATTTGGAATCTTGAAGAAGAAACACTTGATGCTGTAGAGAAAGGAATGCCGTGTTGAGGCATGGCGTGGGCTGGAGGCTTCAATCGAAGCGTGATGGAGCCGCGTTGAACTTCAATCAGAATGAATGATGTGTGCTCCTTTTGCCTGATGTATGTGTCCGAACGCAAAGGTCAGAAGTGGAACCCCCTCAAAGACCAGTTTTTAAAGCAGCAAGTATTCTTCCATGTTTGCTGGAGGAGGGCCACATGGGCTTTATGAAGTTTTATGATCTTTATGTGTATAGTATACGCATGGATGTGAGCCAGTGACCTGGAGCACGAGGAGAATTGGGTGCCTCAACCCTCTCCGTGTTGCGCATGCGCTTCTGTTGCTGGAGCTTTCAATGCATTGTGGCAGCTTGAGAGGGCTTCACCAAACTCTTGCACTGACCTCAGGTGAAGAGGAGTCCTTAGGAATTCTTCAGGTCGCTGGCAGTGTCACTGGGGTTGCGACATTGGGTTCGATGATTTCATGGTGACCTTGTTTGCCCATGCTGAGGTGCAATTAGGGAGGTGGCAGACTTAATGGCAGCAAATTGTGAACAGTTGCAGCTGCAGAAGCAGCAGCGCCTAGAGACTTGGAACAGAAAATACCTTACAGAATGAGGTTAGTTTGTTTTTGTTGTTGACACCTATGAACTTAGGTAGTCTTAGCTCAAACTATCAGTCCCCTAAGTTCTTTTTTTGGGGTGCAAGTGACCGAACTACAGTATGCCACAAAATAGTGGACACTCAAAATGATGCCCCCGTGCATCCCAAACCATGAACCGATAGGGCCGATAGGGGTCTGACTAATTTACAAAAAGACTTGACGGTGGCTCTTGTGCACCTGTTTGGTGGCTAGATCTCATTGTGGCTCATCTCGCTTCATTTTGGTGCTGAGTCTCGCATTTCTTCACCTTTGCCTGATCCCAGAACAGGCAAAGAGGTTGCCAAGCAATTTGGACAGTCTCACAGAAGCTCTTCAAAGGATCTGAAGTCCTTCAATGGCCTCATTATTATTGTGCTTTTAGTATTGGTATTGAAACTGACAGGAGAGGCTCCTCAGCCTTCCAGAGGGCGCCTTTGAAGAATTCTATGATTCCTTGGATGAAGAACTGCAAAGGAAAGGGCTGAGCTGGACAGGCAGAGGCGCCAAGGCGGGTGAAGAGCAAGAGGCAAAAGTATGCGGAAGGCTTTGCAACATTTCACTATTTTTGTTTATATCATATCTCTTTCTTTGAATCTCGTTTGTTTTTTGGTTGGATCTTGTTTGTTTCTTCTCAGGGTAATTTTGTGATGTTTTTTCGTTAACTTGAGCTACTTTGCTGCAAAGCTTTGCTGGTAAGCTGCGACCTTTTTTCTTATGCAACGTGTGCAATGCTTTGGCCGAGGGCGTGACGAAGGCCACAGCCATCTCAACTGCGAGATTCTTGGCTGGCGCTTGCAGTAGCATCCCATGAGCATCGAGTGTTTGTTCACAACAACTTGCACTTTATATATTGTGGTGTGCCAGTTTTGTCCGAGGACAGGTAGCGAACCAGTTTGGCCAATCTCCCAGCTGTTTTGATGATGGATTTTGTCAAAAAGCCAGTGCAGTGATGGCAGTGAGCGAGCCAGGATGCAAAGACCAAAGTCATGAAGCCTTGTCACCAGAGACCCTACCACCAGCTGCTCGTCAGGCGGCTGCCCTGACTGTCAGTCATGCTGCCCTGCTACCAATTTGGATGCCATACAGTCAGAGCATGAAAAGCTTAGATGCCGAATAAGAAAAACAAAGGACGACCAGCGTGAGCGCACGTTTGGCGCAGGCCTTGCCGTCAGGCAGATCAGACATTTTTGAGGCATTGCGCGAAGTGCTTGGTGAAGACAATGCGCAGGCACCTGGCGAAGCTGAAGAGAACGAGGAGAAGACCATTGATCCATTTTTGTTTGACCTATACTATACTTGATGCTACCCGGAATGGTGGTGAGCTGGAATAATTTTGTGGAGTGCAGGAGCAAGAAGAAATACACCTTTTGCCTCATGAAGGTTTGAACTGGAAGCCCCTTTCCAGCAAAGATGCAATCGCGCCTGCGCATTGCTTTGATCAACGTACCAACCTCATTTTCAAGTCTGAGGAAAGAGCTGTCAGAGTTGCTTTCAAAGCGACAAGGCGTTCTCAGGTGGGCTACCAGTGGTACCTGGTAGGTTGTGCTCTTGTTCTTCGCCGTTTGGCCGGAGAGGCTTGCTGATTCTTCAGGCTGCGGGCGGAGCGGCCAAATACTGCAGATGTTGGAAGCTTTGGCGTGCGGCAAGCGGCAGAACAATTGGCCATTGCGCGAAAGACGGAGCTTGAGCAACTTGAGCTATTTGCATGGGAAATGCCATGGCACAAACCCCGCTGTGTGTTGCACGAACGAACTTGTGCTTGAATGAAGTGAAAGAGCCTGGCAGGAGCCGATCAAAGTTACCACTCTGCTGGCCCGAAAGGGCAGTGTGAAGTCCATCGGAGCTCCGTTGACCAAATCTGACACAGAGGCAGAGGTGCACAAGCAGTGGTGTCTTTTGAAGACGGCATTCAGTACACCAAGCTGCGCGACTTGGCATGCTGTTTCCTGTCACTTGCTCTTTGTCAGGTTTGTTGCTGTAAGTGGTGAGGTTCTCCTTTTCCATTTGACCAACCATTATGCGCTGGTGTTCGCATGGCGGGAGTGGCAGGATGCCCAGGACCCGTCATCTTTCACTCAAAGTCAGACAATCCTTACGTTATAAACGTTTGTTTACACCATTTTACAACCTGACCACTGGAGTCAGTCTCAGGACACTGAGCATGCCCCTTGCCTCCGCCGGCAGATCTTGACGGCGCGGCGTGGGCAACGGCCTGGCGCATGGATGGACTTCGAGGAGGTTAGGAGGATCTTGCTGCTTGTCTCAATTTATATATTGTTTCTAATAGCTTCTTGTTACTACTAGTAAGGCCCTTGTTACTAGTAGCGATGCACTTGTTCCTAATAGCGGTGAGTGACATTCAAGTTTCAGGGTTCAAAGGTTCCCAGAGTGAGGGCGTCCCATGGTCAGATGCAGGGCAGTCTGAGCAGTTTGAGCGTTCGGAGGCTGGGTTGGACAGGGTATCATTTGCTGTCGCTACGGCGAGTTAGAAGCTCCGAGCCAGCCCGTGAAGTGGCGGGAAGTTTATGTCAGGACCCGCCTTCCGCGCAATAGTGTAGTGGCAAGATTTTGCCATTCGGGCTTGAATCGCACCCGCAGAGGTCCTGGTGCACTTTGATCACCGAATTCATGGACCATGGATTCTAAAAAATGCGGCGGATGCTGCCGTCTGACATGAGAAATGCCATTGCCGGTAGTCTTGCATGTAACTGCCGTTCCTAGCTCCTATTTGAAGCGCTCATGCCAGGGCGGAACAGCAGGAGTTGAAGGACAGTGTAGCGAAGCACGTGAGGCCAGGCTGCAGAGCAAGAAGACATTAGCCAAACAGGAAACTAGAACATTGCTAGGCAGACAGTGCAAGCTGACGACGATGAGCCAGACATTTTGGTTTCCTTCTCAGTGGAAGGAATTGAAATAAAGAGGGATCTAACGGCTTTCTAGTTTCTAGAAGCTTCAAGTGGATTGTGATCTCCTGAGGCTGAATTCATTTGTGTTCTGCTAGATCAGCTTCCTGCTTAGTTCCTTCTTGTGGCAGTCTCGTAGTGGTGCATGCTTGGCCGTGCACTTGTCATTAAATATATACTCTCGTTGCTGCCAAGACGGAAGTCAAGTGCCGATATGCTTGAAGAGTTGTCGGTGATGGACGATGAGGCACATGTGAATGTAGAGCATGCATTATTGGATAGAACGCCTGTCAGATTGCAATAGGAGGCAATTTATCCGATTTGAGGTGGTTTGAGAGGCACCTGTAAGCTCTTCATTTAAGGCCCAGCCCTTTGTCACATGGTTGGAGAAGGAGAAGGCCAGATGCAACACTTGAAACCGGCCGTACAGAGTCTGTATCTCTGAGTGCTTGGGAATAGAGGCAAGAGGATTCCTCATAATGCAGTGCACCTACTGAGGCTTCTTTGCTTGCGAGACGGACACAAAGACCCGTCCGGGAGCATCGTCGACGAGATCTGCAGAGAGTGGAGGACCAGCGAGATAATTGGACAAGGGCTTTGTGAGACTGAAGTTAAGTTTCCCAAAAGATCTAGGAACCAAATGAATAATGCCACCGCTTCTTCAAGGAGGCTCCCCCGCCTGAGCTTCCTAGAAAAAGGGTGAGCTATCTTGCGTCCACTTTCTAGTGCTTAAGTAGCTAGCTGCTAGCCCTAACTTACTTAAGTAGCCGCAACTTAGCTAAGCAAGAGCGGGAAAAGAAAGGAGAAGCAAAACCAAAACAGAAACGACAAGAACAGAACATACCAGAGGAGATACGCTTTTGATCCGCAAGGAAGTCCCAGACAAGCCACCTGGTCAATTCACGCTGGACCCCAAGCGCAAAATCGAAACTTCATTGACCGACTCACTGTATGTCACTGCCTAACCATCGCTCGTTGTATCGATATGTATCGATTGCTTTTCATGGGCATCCATCTGAACAAGATAGAACAGGATTACTGTAACTGTACAGTAGACTGTAGGGCACTGTAGGGCTAGGATTCGGAAAGGTTAGGGCTAGGGAACGGCTTTTTTGCTTTTCCTCCATTGCTCCTGCTCGGCTTAAGCTGGAGACGGGACAGCAAGGCCGCCACCTCGTTCTGCTTTGCTAATGTCGCCCGGCTTTAGAACTAGACACTGGAGTTTTGTGACACCAATGTGTAGTGGGTGGCCTACTTCCTACAGGCCAAATGCTGTCACGGCTTCATTGGAGGAGTCGGCGAAGGCCAAGATTATTCTTCCTACGAGAGGCCAGCCCAGCACCCCTGTCACAGGCAAGCCAAGATCGAGGGCTGGTGGTTATCACCAAGCGCCTCATTCTTCAGTCGGAGGCTCAGGACTGAAGATTCGATCTCCTAGTTATCGGGATGCAGGTTACTAGGGTGTAGTATGCCATTTTGCTAAGGCCAAATTGTGGGCACAGTGCGCCTGGCACGTATTGCATCCAAGCAGCGTTTATTTGGCAAACAAATTTGATCCTGACCGCCTGACCGAGCGTGGGGCAATTATGGCAGATCGGGGCTGCCAACCAAGGCTGCTAAACCAAAACGACACCCAAACGGCTGCTGTTTGCTAGAAGTAACATGAAGTACCAAAGGCCATCCCACCCTGGAATCACAAGAAATGGACGTGGACATGGACTTGCACATGAACGCACGCGCGACGACTTTTTCCTCACCGTGAACCCATTCCCCGCACTCAGTTGGTAAAAACTATTTTCCAGACCGACTCCCAGACAAGATCAAGTTATGGCAACATGCCATATGCACAGCAGCATAGAAAGACATTGGACCAAGTTCAGATAATAACAAGGGCTCTATATATACAGACTGTTTGCCTTTGTGTGCAGGCGCAGCTGATCTTCGTTTTTCAATCAACATTCAATTCTATTCAAGGCCTAACACAGGTACATTTGCATGTACGCTCGTGTACGCTCGCACGTTCACCCTCACGCTACCTTGTATGTGTGTATGCTTGCTACTGCGCAAGCCACGTTCAAAACACTGCTCGCCCCCACGTTCACTTTCACATGTTTTATCTTATCACAGACTCGACGCCGATCCAGACATCACGCAGGCAGCAGAAAGACCGCGAATAGTCAGCGGGACGCTGGGGTGGTTTGTCTGGACTGAGTCCAAGAGACCACCAATGAGCAGACCACCAACCGAGGAATCACTTTCTTGGCCGAAAAGGGTCAGCCACACACTACCAATCGGGTTATATAATAAGGATCCCAAGATCAGAACAATCAAAGCCACCAGACAGTGACAAAGTATATAGTGCCCAAAAAACTGATTGAAGGAGTCTCTGCGCAGTCGTCATCAGCAGGCGAATAAGATGATGTCGATGCGACACCAACTCCTGCTTAGAAGAGCTTTTGAAATAGGGAAGGGCAATATCTGATTTTACAACTTACAACCAGCAAGAAAACAAGCTCAACCCAGCTAGTGGCATATAAGAGCCTAAACCACCAACCTCTCAAACAAAGCAATAAGCCATTGAGGTCGCAAATCGAGAGATAATTGAATTTCAAAAAAGCAGCCACTTGCAGCCACTCGAGTGGCCGCAAGTGGCCGCTCCCCAAAAAACACACAGCAAGTGGCCGCAAGTGGCAAGTGGCCGCAAGTGGCCGCTATAGTAAGAGCAGGTTCAAGTGAAACTTTCCTTTTTCCAAGATGGAGAGCAGGGATGTCATCAAATCTTGAAAAAATACGGAGCTAGAGTTTTTCAATATTTTTTCAAGATGGAGGCCACTTGCAGCCACTTGCGGCCACTCGAGTGGTCGCACGTGGCCGCTATAGCAAGAGTACCCAAACATAGAAGAAACGGAGCCCCATGCAAGGGAGTATCCAAATAAGGATGAAGAGGACCGGAACGAAACAGAGAATTCCATCGCAGAGGGAAAGGACTCAAATGAAGGAAAGACTCAAACGAAGTAGGAAAGATTCAAAGGAAGAAGGAAAGGAATCAAACGAAGGAAAGAGTCGAACAAAGTAGGAAAGATTCAAAAAGCGGAAAAGGCAAGAGTCAAACAACATAGGAAAGATTCAAAGGAAGAAGGAAAGGAATCAAACGAAGGAAAGAGTCCAACGAAGATCTGCAGGCAGGAAGCCTGCGAATTCTCCAAAAAAAACAAAAGATATTTTTTCAAGTTCTGTAGACACACAGACTGCTCGCGTGGAACCACAAGCACGCAGCGACTGGCAGCCACTTGCGGCCACTCGATGTGGTCACAAGCCCGCAGCCACTTGCAATCACTTGCAGCCAACTTGCAGCCACTAGCTGTGGTCACAGGCCCGCAGCCACTTGCAGCCACTCGAGTGGCCGCAAGTGGCCGCTTCCCAAAGGTGGCCGCAAGTGGCCGCTTGCACCAAAATCAAGTTCCTTCTGAGAAACAAACCTGAGCACTGCAAATCTGGGGCAATGTGCTCAGCTCAAGTTCCACTCAGCTGCGCAGCAGCAGGGTCCAGAACAGCCTTGAAGAAGCGCAGCAGCAAGCGCACTCGCCATAGCTCTTGTTCATGAAAAACACCTGCCGGTGGTGCCAATTGGGGTTGTGTGTCGGCAAATTGCTTTTGGAAACCAGAGCTAAAAGGCCGACAAAGGAAGCTTGACAAAATCGTGAAAGACTTTCCAAACGAGTTCAAGTGACGATGCAGCCGGGCGATGGTGGTATGATCAGCAACTCCTCCCTCAAACACTGGGCTTTGTCCACCCAGCCGCAAGTGAGAACATGACAACGTGTTCTTGTCAAGCTATCCACCGATGGCTGCCCCAAGAAACTCAGGCCCCGCTCCCACAGCGCTTGAGCCAGTGCATAGTTCTGCCACCGCATCAGAAAATGCTAAGGGGGAGGAATGACAAGGGATCACGTCATCCTGGAACAGCTGGATGGCAAAAGGCTCCACATCAAGGGCCTTAGCAGCATCAGCGGTGAAGCGATCAGGATGCATCGCAAAATAGCAAGCAAGTGAGGTCAGCAAGCACGCGCACCACGGAGCAGCCATCATCAACGCGGCCCACCAGTGCAAAGGCGGCAGCAACAGAGAGGGTCTACACGGCACGGACATCCGAACTTTAGTTGACACAGCCGCACTACCCTGGTAAGCTTCGGGCCGACGACTCACATGTTTTATCTTGAAAGCTTGACAAAATCCTGTTCAGCCCAGGAAGTAAAGTTCAGCAAGACCAGAAACTCTGTTACCTGAGCTCAGCGGAAGGAATAAACATTTGAATCAACACCTCGCTCAGCCCTGAAAGTATATACGGTAATGCAAAACCCTAAGCATCCCAAGCCCTGAAGTTTTTGAGCTCAGACGGGGAAAGAAGGCAGAAGGCAAGATCTCGCTCAGCCCCGGAATGAATGGAAGACTTGCTCTTCCCTGGACATAATGCAAATCCTAAAGTTCTGGACTTAGCGGAAAGGTAGACTGAGATGCGTGCACATACCATCTGCTCCTGTTGTAGCTCTTGCGTTTGCGGTGAGTTTTGGTGCACCGGGAGTGAGTGTGATCGACAGAGGCCAAGGCCCAATCGGGATGGAACACCTGGAGCATTTGAGCATCCTTGAG